GGGAGACGAAAACTCAGCAAGTCATAAATGGGTTAAACCATTTCCTCAGAGAGGGGGGATTCCAAGTCTCACATGCTGAGTGTGGTCTTACCCCAGGGGTTTTCAAAACTCACCCCGCCTCTTTCTTCAGCTCTGATTGAATTTTTCCTTCACCTCCCACGGTTCAATGGAGACTGGGACCTCTGACCTTTTAACTCCTGATTTTCTATTAATGAGGTTCAGTTTTTTTTTTTTTTTGTTGCAACTATGTTTTTTCTGTCACATTTATTAATGAAGATTTGTTCTCTTTTAACCTTTTTAATTAACTGCCCTTCCTCGATTTCTTAATTTAAATCATGCCAGTGAAAATATTTAGACCATAACTGCACTATATTCCCATTTGTTCTAGATTTTCTACAATACCTTTCACAATAATTCAGAAAGGGGTTGTCACAATACCAGAGTTATAAACTTTGAAATGAATGAGGGTGAAGAGATTTTTGGTTTGCATTCTGGTTTCTGGTTTTCTGTCTGAGTTGTTTCGTCCAATCCAATACCAAAACCATCAGAGCTTACAAAGATCAACTGGGTTTCGGTCATTAACTTTGGAATAACTAATATAAATACAGTATGGTGCTAGCAGAGAGAGTAATGACTATTGGTTCTACTGGTTTGGCATACAAGTCTATTTGTAGACATATTCTCTCAACTGCTACTCAATTCTCACCTCTCAAGTAGCTAGCTGGACTTCTTTCAGCCTCAAAGACGAAATATTTTGGGTGTCGATAAAGCTCAGTTGGTAGAGTCGGCGTCCCAGAACAGACGCTTCAGTCCTCGTTGAACTAGACGCAGGTTCGACTCCAGGTCCTGTCACCATTTGGTGCATGTCATCCCCTGCTCTCTCGCCATACATTTAATTATTCTCTTTAGCCCTCGTATCAATTAAAAGGCAAAAAGCCCCCCCAAGATAAAAATGATATAAGAAACAGGACTAAATTGTTCGTCAACTTCAACAACTAGGTTCTGAAAATGGAAGTGTAAGATACTAACAGATGATTGTACTTGAAAGGTTTTTAACTGAAGCATGAACAGATCTTTATGATGGATCACTTTGGTGATTAAAGGGTGAGGGTTACACACACACACACACACACACACACACACACACACACACACACACACACACACACACACACACACACACACACACACACACACACACACACACACACACACACACACACACACACACACACACACACACACACACACACACACACACACACACACACACACACACACACACACACACAACCCCTCTATTTTATTTTTCCATTCTAACAGCTGTTGTCGGCGCACACAGCTGCAACAAGAAAAACTCTTCAGCTATTCGCCAGCCTGAGAAGCCCAACCAATCGCCAAGTGTTGAGGATCAAGAGCACATGTGCAGAGCCATACACACTCACACACACCACACACACACACACACAATTTTGGGTCAGATGTTTGCGAGGCAGGCAGTGCAGACAAAAACAGAGCTCATGTTCATCCTCGCATGCCTCACGTGGTTATGATTCATCGAATCCTGAGGAACTAAACTCAAAATGTCAAGGTTAATTTGTGTTCCAGTGCATCTGAGCGTTTCCACAACCACTTGTCCCCGGCTTTAATGAAACGTTTACAGCAGCCGCCATTCTCCCCGGAGCCACAAAAAGACACAAATAAAACTGAACATAAACAAAGCCAAGCAAATCAAGACGCACAATGTTTAAGAGGTATTGTTTTCCTCCTAGAACAAAAAATAGGACCAACACAGCCATCCAGCCGCCGCTGAGCTTAATTACATGGAGACGTTTCATTGTTCACTCTATGAGGTAACAGAGGAGCCAGCGTTCGTTCACTTCGGCTCGCTTCAGGCCCGTCCCTGTTGTCCACAACCATTATCTCTGATTCAAAGTGACACTCGTCTAAGCAGAGGAATGGTTACATGCTACTGGTCCCTCCTATAATCCTCACAGGAAACACTGGAGATACAGTGGGCCTTCCAATGTCCCATGGACACCGACGCCACACTGTACATGAGTTAAATAACCCTGCAAGGCCCGCCATGATAGAAATGCAAACAGCTAGAGTTCCTGCTCAAACTCCTGGATATGTTTCAGCAGAATTTCTCTCATTATCAATTGACAGGAATGAATTCTGAATTTGGTGTATGCATGCGTTTACAGACAAACAGACATGATTCAGTGTCAACATTTTCCCTTTTCATTTCAACGCGGCAGGTGTGTAACATCCCCTACAGCTGTGCTTTCTCACACTCCACTTAAAGGCCCAGAATGATTCCTCATATATACTTTATGATTTCCTGGAGCCACTTTGACTTTTGTTTATGAGCTTCAGTCTAAACACTGCAGATGTTTACATCATAAACAGAGTAGAACAAAGCTCGAAATATACTTTCTGCATAACGTCTGGACTTCTGCACAGGGCCACGTGGACACAAGTGGACTCATGCAGCCAG